CTATTGGGGAGTGATTAGTGTGCGCCCACACGATGTGGTGCTAAGGAGGAAGGCGGCGCCTCCGCCCCCAAGCCCCCGCAGGGCAGGGAGGGGGGGTGGGGAATTCTGGGAGTTGAAGTCCCCCCCCTCTTAAAGCAGCCCAAGTTGAGGAATGCTGGCTTGGGAGGAGGGATGTGCTCATTCTCTTCCGCAAATGGCCCAAAGAACTGCTATATTTCTGGAAAAAATTATTCCTTAATTACGGGGAACTTGTGGATGGGAATCTCACTGACGTCTTGTGCTAGGTCGCGCCTTCGCGTTGCTGCACTGACCCGACATGGATATCGGAGGCAGTAGCCGGATTCCGTACGATGACTACCCTGTGGTCTTCCTCCCGCCCTACGAGAATCCTCCAGCCTGGATCCCCCCTCATGAGGTGTGTATCTGTCGATCCCCTTTGGGTCCCAGCGGTCGTTTGGAGGTCTGCGGCCTTGCCTGGATTTGATAGTGCCCCGACCTCACTTTGAAGGGGCTTGCAATGTTCTTTGCAGCGAATCCCCACATTCTGAGACTTTTCTCCTGGCAGAGCTAGGGAGCGGTGCATGCCAGATGGATTTCAGGTTTCCAAGGACGGAATCCATTCACGCTATTTCTTGGTGTATCTTTTGATTTTCCCTAGAGAATTTACCATTCTGATTACAACAACGAGCTAACCCAGTTCCTGCCTCGTACCATTGTACTGAAAAAGCCTTCGGGGGCTCAGGTGAGACTCAACCCCTTCTCAAGGACTGGGGCAAAGAGGGGACCTCTAAGGCAGCCTTCCCAGGTTGACACTTTCCAACAACTCCATCATCCCCAGCCATAAGTGATGGGAGCCACAGTACAGCTGGGGGAATAGCTCTTTGACTCTTCGTGGACAGTTCTGTTAACTGAATTCCTTTACAAAAACGTTGGTTTTCCTCGGGAGGCATAGAATTTCTTCCTCAGAGCTAGAGCTACTGGATAGTCAGTCAGTCAACCTTAAAAAGCTTAAGATTTTGCTGAATTTGGAGGCTGAGTAGAAGCCGATGCTCCTTCCTAGAGTGGTTACAGAACCCTTTGCAAGAAGATTTGGTTCTGGGAATTGCTGGCTGTGAATCAGGGTGGGTGGGATAAAAGGGGGGTGAAAATCACTGTGCTCTTTCTGCAAATGGGTCAGATTCTCATCTTTGTGGGATCCTGGTCTGTTGTATCTCTGAGGAGGGCAGAATTGATAATAACAGACACAAAGTTCCATTGTAGAGTGTTGCATTGGGGTTACGTCTGAAAAATAACTAGTGAGATTTATCACGCTCACCTCGACTGTAAAAGCTGTTGGTTGTTGAACTTCCTTGCCAATAAATGGGTTGAAATGTGGCCAGATATATCCCTGTTCATCAGCAAATTCATGGAGCTTTTAATAAAAAGCATATTTATATTTGCTGCCAACTTTCTTCATTCTTTTTCCTTCCTAGCTGGGTTTTAACATCCGAGGAGGAAAGGCTTCTCAGCTAGGTATTTTCATCTCAAAGGTATGTTGTTCTCTTGTTTCACCCTTCTTGCTGGCCAGTTTCCTTCTTCCTTAAGAAGCACGTGAAATGGGGGTTTCGGTCCTATGTTCCTTGCAGAATCTGTGGCCTGATCCTTTGTCTTCTCTAGCCAGCTGCCAAGGGCCTACCTAGTCATAATCCAACTTCTGTTTAAAAGATTACAATACAGAAGTAGACTGATGAGATCCCATTCTTCTAGCATTTGTCAGTTTTTCTGTGTGTTTACACAGAAGAAAATACCAGTTCTGTGTGGCTTCCTTCAAAACAAAAATTTAAGTTGCACTGTATGATGTACTTCATCAGAAAGAATGAAACTAAAATGGAGTACATGGGACTATATGTAACTTGTTTAGCTCTTTCCAGCTTGTTTTAGGTTTTAAAATAAGAGGCAGGTTGGCATTCTGGCCTTTTCAATCTCACTCCCATTATTTTGCCTTAACTCAAATCTTTTTTCTTCTGCTCTTCCATTTTTCTGGGCAAAGAGAGCAATACAATGCACTGGCTTTCCCCCCAACCTTGTGCTCCCTCTCCCTGATTTTGAACTATAACATCCATCATCCCCATTTGTCATCTAAAGCATTTGGGCTGTCCCAGGTTGGGGGAAAGGCTGTTTGACAACGTCTGTGCTGTGGCAATCTCTCATTTCTTCCGTGCTAGGTGATCCCGGATTCTGACGCTCATCGAGCCGGGCTGCAGGAGGGAGATCAGGTCTTGGCTGTGAATGATGTGGACTTCCAAGATATTGAGCACAGCAAGGTGAGAGGTTAGAGTTTGGATGTTGGACTTGGGATGAGGAGATGGCCTTTGGCCAAAGGAGGTCCCAAGTGGCTAATCGGGCTCTCTCAAGCCAGCCTCCCCCGCAGGTACAATGATGTCCAGTGGTGGAAAAGTGGGATATAAGTCAGTAAGTTTTGCAGGAATTGCGGTGGTAGCACATCAGGCTGGGGAAGGCTGATCTTGCTGAAATGCAGCCACTAAGTGGCTGGGTAGGAGGTTGCTCTGGGCCCTTTAGGATCCCCCCTCTTGAGTTCCATCAAGGAAACAGAGAATATACATAACACGACAGTCCTGTTTGCTGCTATTGAGGATTCAGCATTTTTTCCCCTCTTTCTCAGGCTGTAGAGATCTTGAAAACAGCCCGGGAAATCATCATGAGAGTCCGTTTCTTCCCTTACAGTAAGTATTGCTGCCACTCTTTGGGGGGAAAATGCACCTTTTTAAAATGGAAACATATTGTGTGATTCACTGTCTCACAGAATTCCTAGTGAATGTACCCCTTTTTACAAGAAGGGAAACTGAGGCTTCATGAGGTCCCTTCAGGACTTAGGGGAGAATGGGAATCTATTGGATATTCATATCACTGGGAAGGATTACAGGACTAGTACGCTTTAGGAAAATTGACAGAAGAGATTCTGTGCCAGGCTGTGAAGGGGGAACAGAAGATCTGTGCCCACTGCGGTTACTGGAAGCAATAGCAGAAGAGAGCTTTTGTCCTCGTCCCCTTCTTGTGAACTTCACGCTGACCTCTGTCCACCAGGAGCAGGCTGCCTCAACAGGGCTGTCTGAGATTCTGGCCTTCATTTTCTCTTCTTCCCTTCCAGATTACCAGAGGCAGAAGGAGAGAACCGTTCACTAGAAGTTCCTTCCCAGTTTCCACCTTCTCGTAGAGAGCTTGCCAACTTCCAACCGATTCTTATTTTTAATTATTTTTTGTAATTCTGTGCTTTGTTATAAAGCACACACTTTTATTCTATTTTAAGTCCCACTGCGGACCCAAAAAGTTTTTTGGAGGCAGAAAAGAGTTCTGTTCTGGTCCGATGCATTGTGGAATCCCTACAAAGGAGGACAGAGCTAAATTTTGATTTTACTCTATCTGCTTCATGCTGTGGACCAAAAGATAAGGGCTCTCAGACTGATTTCAACTCATCCCTGATCCAGGAGGAGACATTGATGGCATCTCTCTGTGGAACCGCAATCATTCTTTTTTGTCCCCCAGAATTGGAAGAGGAGCAACCATCTGTCTCAGAAGGAGCAGATCAGCTGTTTGGCTCAAAACTCTTTTGGATACTGGAGGCCTGTGAGGAAGGCTTGAGGCACGGTCTGCCACAAACAGCTGCCCTGTGCCCTGCTGCTCCGAAAGGGGTGATTCCAGTTCCCTTGTTCAAACCAGAAATACTCCTTCACCTCCACTGTTCTCCATGCTCTCCCAAAGCAGAAGCGTGATTTCTTTTATGGGAGGTAATTACATGGTGCTTCTGTCCTTTTTAATTAAGGTGTTAATGGAAGGGAGGTGAAGATACCTTCCTTACCTTAGCAAAGGATTCACCTGGAGAACAGCTGCTTTCCTTCCTTTGGCTTTGGCTTTGGGTCCATCCAAATGAGGGCAGCTGGAAAGGCCACCCCTGCAGACATGCAGCTTAAACAGCCACAGATTCCTGAACCTGAAACTTGCAACAAAGCCATAGAAGAGACAGTTTTTTTAATCCTCCAAGTTCCCCTTTTGTCTGACAACTTCAAAGCTGAGTTGCCGCGGAAGCAACAACCTTCTCTTCCCTGGGTTTGATTTATCAGTCACGGCCCTGGTTTGGATAAATGTCCATCTTTAATAAAACATTCCTATCACTCTGTGATTGATGTATTATTCCACTGAGAAGCAGGTGTTTTCCAAGGAATGTCACATCCCCTTTTTACATCTCGTTCAAACATGTTGCTTTGACCATTGCTAAGTAGGAGTGATGTCTTTAAAAAAACCCAGCTTTTCTCATTGTTCCAGAAAGGGAATGCAGGCTGGGGAAAACAACACTCACTGGTGATGAGAACTTGTCCTGGGTTGTTGAATAAGGCCACGGTGCACAGAAGGAAGTGAATCCGACGGTCCACTAAAAATCGGCTTTGAGAGGGAGGAGAAGGTATTTCTTTGAAAGCAGTACAGCCGTAAGGGGGTCGGTTTCGAAATACTCCAGCAAGAGGGAGCAAGCTCGCTCTGAAGCTGCTTTTTGGCAAGGCAAGTCTGCCTTCAGCTGGAGAGAAACCTGGGTGTGAAATGTTCCAACAAAGGGAAAAAGGCTTTTCTTCCTTCTGCACAGAAGTTTCTCTTTTTAATGGTCTGCTCTGGTTAAAGGGTTTCGCTAGAGCAGTTTGATGTTGAAGTTGCATGCAGAGAGCAAGCAAAACTTGTTTTTTTGTGGCTTGGGGTGATTCGCTCACCCAGCGCTTTAGGTCACGTCATGGCCCAACGTCATGTGTGAAAAGGGATCCGCTCAGTGTGTTCCACGAAGAGAGCGCCGCTATTCCCCGACAGAAACAGGCCAGCCTGCTGCACGGCCATCCCTCACGGTGATGCCTTAATTGATTTTGGAGCCCGTCACCTACAGATAAGATTTCGGATCGGTGACATAGTCACGCATAAGCTATCACTGAGACCGGTGAATATACTGACCTTGGGAAACGGTTAGCTTTCTCTGTAAACTGAGCCAACTCAGGTTAAACAAACTTGGCTCGGGGTGATGTATGAACTCGGCACTTTGGAATGCTAAATATTGCTTCGCAGAAAGCAGCTGTTCCAAGTAGTTGAACGAATCCTTAAAAACGTGCTGCTGCTGAATTACTAGAAGTCGACTTGAGAAGGGACGGGTCTTCCAAAGCAGCCCGGTCCAAGGCTGGTTGCATTCACACAATGCGGATGCGGTTATGCAATTGACCCAAGTTCTGTGTTTGACCCATAATACAAGTCAACCTAAAGTAACCAAACCGGTTGGATTTGCACACCGTGTTAAGCCACAGGCACTCCCAACAAACGAAACAGGAATCAAACCTAGCCTGGGCTCGTCCTGCCGTGAGGTTTGGGACCTGAGTTCAGTGTGTTGTGTGAACGTAGCCCATGCGTAGCTGCAAAAATGGAATATTTGTGTTTACCATGGCCTCACGCTTCCTCCCTTTTCCTGCTGAATGCCTACTTTTAGAGAGGGCAAGGGTTGACCAAATCCACCTATGTCAAACGTATGCACTTTTATGTCAGTGAGCAATTAACCAGTTAATCCAACACACTTGTTGGCCGTTGTGCCACACCGGCCTTTGTTCCAGCCCCAATGTCTTTCCCCCAATGTCACGCTTCCAGTTCAGCAGCAACCCACAAAACAACCAGGCGTGGGGTTTCCAGGTGGTCTCCCATCCAAGCACTAGCCAGCTCCCTGGGGATCAGCCCGGTCCCCTTGGGGCTGCCAGCTGCTGAGACCAAGCCCGAAAGGGTGCCAGGCGCTCCCGGCCCTGCGCGGCTGCCTGCTCGCTTCTTCGCCCGAGGAGCCCCCCCCCGTGTTCCGGGACGCGGCCAGAACGTGGGAAAGGAGGGCAGGCCGGACCTCAATCGCGGACAAGGGGGGCCGAGGAAGAGGCGGGAGCGTCATTGGGTCCATGGGGTAATGGTTTGCACTCTTGGATTTTTATCCAGCGATCCGAGTTCAAATCTCGGTGGAACCTCCTTTTGGGCTCCGCTTTCCGAAGAGAGAGGGACGGGACGGGACGGGACGGGA